CCGCCCGCCCCGGCAGGTGACAGACCCCCACGGACGCCCCTTGGACCTTGCCCCGCCCGCTCCGACAGGTGACAGACCCCCCCGGACCCCTCCTCGAGCTCAGCTCCGCCCGCCCTGGCAGGTGACAGACCCCCCCGGATGCCACTTGGACCTCGCCCCGCCCGCTCCGACAGGTGAGAGATCACCGGATCCTCCCTTGTATCTCGCCCCGCCTGTCCCGGCAGGTGAGATACCCCCGGATCCCCTCTGGACCTCGCTCCGCCTCCTCCGCCAGGTGAGGAACCCCCGGATCCCGGCCCGTGTGCCCCGGCAGGTGAGAGATCCCTCAAGGCTCCGGGCCCGCACCCGGTGAGGGCACCCGCACCCCTCATTTGGCGGGGGGAGCTGCGTCCCACAGCCCCGTACCAAGGCGTCACCCCAGCCTGACTACGGGGTGGAACGGGGTTGTGTTTGACTTTGGAAGGCGACCCCAGTTCGGATGGCGGGAGGTGGAGGGGGAACACCAACTCTGTTTGCAGGGGTCATATTTCGGAGCGGGGACTGACCGGGAGACCACCGAAGACTGGACCGGGAAACCTCACCCCCTATTGGAGCGGGTCACCGTACTGGGGCGGGGGTCCCGGTCCTGCACTGGAGATGGGGCTGTCCCGGCTCTGTTTCGAACAGAGGAACCGCCACCCCATGTTTCGGCAGACCCCTTTTCCCCGACACTGGCCCGCGGGGTGATGCCGGCGGCGGGGCCGGGCCGGGAGCGGCCGGGGCAGCCGGAGCGACCCGCTGTGGGGCGGCCCCGGGGCCCCAGGCTCCCCCCGCACCGCTCCGAGATGCCCCGGGCTGCCCCGAGCCTCCATCGGCCCCGGTAATTCCGACCCGGGAGTCCGACACCGGAGCAAAACAAAGACCCAGCCGGGCTGCGGGCTGATGTTTTCCCTCGCGAGGAGGGTTTCCTTGGTAAAATTCAGATGTTTCCTTGGGTCTCGATTAAAATAACAAAGTGGGGTATTTACTAGGATGTTATTTCAAGTCTCTTAAGTCCCTGGTTATGTCTGTTGCGATTTCTCCGCAAATACAAAAACAAGCTCTGCAATGATTTATTTGAAGGAATGCAGGTGTTTCGCCAAAACAAACACGGCTTTTTTTTTCTTCTCCCCCCCGAAACAATCACTTCTCACGAGCATTTGTCACTGCAGGCTCTTGGATTTCTTTCTGCTATAATTTTACAGGTGTCTTGTCACAGTATTGTGAGCAGGTTTCTAATGCCAACCAGCGGCTTTGCTCGGTATGTACACTGTGCAGAGGCATGGACAGCACTCCCAGGACACCATCCCAAGAAAACCCCATCCCAACAAATTCCTGTCCAGTGCAGCCCTGGATGGCCAGGCCTGAAGCCATTTGCACACCTCGCACAGCACTTGTAGAGTTTGCACAGCCTGTGCACAGCCTTTTCACAGGGCTTGCACAGCCTGAACGTGGAGCTGGCATGGCTTGCACGGCATTTGCACACTCAGCGTGCTCACACGGGGCCTTGCACACACCACCCCCCAGCAGTCAGTGACCCCCAGGAGCCTAACCCAGCTGGGGCAGGAGGCAGAGGAAGGTCTTGCAGAAGAAGGCTTCATTAACTGTTATTCTTCTGTCAGTTCCTTGTTAAATCCAGCCTGATGCTGTTCAGATACTAAAGGTCATTTTTAAAAACCATCTGACAAGACCTCCCAGCCCTGAGGCCTCACTCCCCCCTGGCCAGGGTGCTGAGACTCCACTCAGGAGCAATCCCAGAACCAGAACACGGCAGCAGGGCTCTGTGCTCAGGGCATCTCTTCCCAAAGATGGGAATGCTGAAAAGGACTGTCCAGTCCTGTCCCACCTAATCTCACCACAGAGAGCAGCCCCAGGCTCCAAACTGTGCTCCTGATGCTCCCACTGCAGCGCATGGCAGCACTCAGTGCAGCCCAAGGAAGGGATCAAAATGGTCAGCAAAAGGATGGAAGGATGATGGGGTGAGAAGGACTGTTGAATGGGCAGAAGAGTCTATCCATGAAACTCCAGGCTTCTTGCAATGGTTTCTGGAGCATCCTGCCTGGAACCATTTCACACAGTCAGTTTTATGGGAAACAATGAAAGGTACAGAAATGGTGAGTGTGGGCCCCAGTCTTACAACCTTTCAGCCTCAAGCCCCCAAGTCTGTACATCCTCCTGCAGGTTGGGGTGCATGCAACTGCCACACATGTGGAATCCCAGGCTTCACCAAATTCCCTGGAACTGGAACTGTCACTGTCACTGCATTTTTCATCTGTATGTTTCAAAAATTAAAGTTACATAAAGCAACAGACAGCTGTGCCTCCTGTTTGTTCTTTCCCCACAAGTTTTTTTTGCCCACAGACCAGTCCTCTTCTCAGCTCGCCGTGTGGGCACCAGGGCCAAATCCCTGCCTGCTGCAAGCTGAGCAATAGATTCCTGTGCATCAATTTGCACCACACCATCCTTTGTCCCTGTGTGCAGCTGTCCCCATGACAGAGCCTTGTGCTGCTGGGTGACAAGAGGCAGATCCCTGTGCTCATTGTCTGTATGGAGACACAGGCACACAGACCCCCACACAACCCCAGTGACATGGACACATGTCTGTGAGCACTAGAAGGCACATGAACACACACACACACACACAGGTACCCCAACCCAAGCAGCAAATCCTGCCCAGCCAAGCTGGAGGGTAGATGTAAAATCCCACAGCTCATCCTCTCAACCACACAACGTCTATCGAGACGCACAAGCACTGGCTTTCCCATCTGTTCTCCATTGCAGCCTCATTTAAACCCTTTTGGGCTTTCTTGAATTTCCATCAGCCCAGCCCAGCCCAGCTGCAGGACCTTCCCAAGCCTCCCGAGCCCTGCACAGCAGCACAGCAGCTCCTACCCCCAGTCCTTCCCTGTGCTGGGGATGGGATCCCTTCTCTCCCACTGCAAAACTTTTGTGCATAATTTCACCCTGGCAAAAAGCCACCTTCTACCAGCCCCCTTCCAAACCCAAATTAGCACGCTGCTGCAGCAGCAGAAATTGGAGAGGAAAGGCTGCAAGTTTTATTTTACAACTCAATTAGCAAGTTTATACAGAAAAAAACACCCACATAACTGAGGGAGATTTTATGTCCGTTCAGCTTCACCAGTAAATAGCCTAGTTCCTCCTAAGGGCACTCCCCACTGCTGTGGGCACAGCGATGTGCCCCTGCCCGTGGGGCCCCTCAACCAACGCGGTGATCCTGGCTCCAGCCCTGGTCACTTGCTCCATCTCTCTTTGCTCTTACACTTAAAAATCCTCTGGGTATCTCTATCATGGGCTGAAAAACAGGTTTGAGACTGTCCTGACACCCTGTTCACCTGAGTATTAAATCTGAAGTGTGCCAAAACCTAAGATGAAGATAAAGGGCCACATTTGCCTCTATTTTTTCCTTAAGAATCAGTTCCAAGTAACATGGAGCCAATGGCTGTCTGCCCAGGAGGGATCCTGACTCCCGAGACAGCTTGCACCATGTCCCACTACAGTCTCTCCCTTCCCTGACCAATCGACCCTTCTGGTCAGGTTTCTGGAAAGAAGGGGACAGTCTTCTCACTAAGCCAGTTTTCTTACTGAGAACAGTTTTTGCATGGTGATTGCTTCAGGGTCAGGAAGGAATCATTCTTGCCTGGCTGACACTTGGGCTTGTCCCTTCTGTTGCAGTCCCCCTTCCTGAGCTCCCTATTTTTGTGCCCAGCACTGTCCTACTTGCTCCTCTGCATTGTCCATGGCAGTTGGGGACCTTTGTGTGTGGAGCACTGAATCATTTCCATGCTCTGGGGCTCAGTCCTGGCCATGGTGAATCACCCTACCATGGTTACCTCCTCTTGTACAGCTGTGGGCAAGGTCCCAGCCTGGCAGAAGGACTGCCCTACTGATGCTCTTCAGCACAGGAATTAATTTGATTTAATTAGAACCCCACCAGGCTTGGAAGACCACTTCTCAAAGTAGGAAACTGAGGCAGAAGGGAAATCCCCAAAGAATAACCATGTGCCTCATGTCTCAGCTACATTCCCAGAGCTCTGCACCTCCACCTCACCTTCCCTGTCATCAGCCCTTTCTGATGGAACAGAAATAAGCTGCAGTGACAAACCCCCTCCATGCTTCAAAACTGGAGGTGTTTGCAGCTGTTTCTGTTAGCTGAGCCAGTGGGGCTCCACCAGATTTTCAAGTCTTGAACAAGTTCAGTGATCAGGCTATTGATGCCAGTGGCTATTTGGAAGAGTGTGTTCTCATGTAGTGACCACACAAGAAGCTTCTTGGGGCTTCACTTAACAAATGTCTTCTAGCGAGATGGCTACAAGTGACGGCAGGGCCAGCTCAGCAAGTAGCTAAGCAACAGCATCGTTTTCTTTCCAAATCTTCCAGCAACTCCTTCCAAAACTTACTTAAACTGAGGCCAAGCTGAATTCTTTCTGATTGTCTGCTCAGGGATAGCCAGGGAAGATAAGACAAATCAAGGTACAAATTCCATGCATGAAACATCAGATGGATTCAAGGACCCCATAGGCTGCTTTGCTTCAGGCCCAGAGACCTGACGTCAGCTCAGTCTGGCTGCCTAAAGCTGTGCTTGTCTCACATCACTTTCTATTTGAGCAATTTGAGCACTGTGCTCTAGCTAGGGGACAGGAAATGCTTTGCGGAGAGTTCAATCCTTCTGGAAACAAAAAAGCTTCTTGAAAAAGGCTTTCCAATATCCCCTCAGGGAAAATTGTCCTATTCAGCATCTGGTTGACAGGGTCTGGCATAAGCCACCTGAAAATACTGAGTCAAAGCACAACTGAGCACTCAGTCAATATATAAAAAAAAAAAAAAATTAAAGCTGCTGCAGGCCTGGAATTAAAATTCCACCTCTCTGCTTTTTGAAAAGTGCAGAGTCAGCAAGTAATTTGTCAATGCACCAATCACAGATGCTGGATCATGGTGGTGACTCACCCCAAGCGTCCTCACGGTGGTAGGCCAGGACAGTGTCTAGTTGGAAGGGGTGGGATTCACTTCCCTTCATTTTGGGCTCCTTTTCAGTCTAACTAACCACCTTCTCACCTTTACTAGTTCCTGGAGGGAGAGCAGTACCTCCAGAAAGCAGTTCCTACAGCATTAACACAGAGCCCAGCTGAGGCAGCTGTCACTGAGGTCAAGAAAGCTGTCACCTGTCTCCTCCCCACCCCTGGATGAACATGGTACGAGGGGAAGCATTGTCCTACAGCTCTGCTCCATGATTCCTTATTCCCATATATTAAATCCTTTGATCTCCACTCAGTCTTTTTTTCTCTCATCAGTTTCCCATGTCACATCCTCCTCAACTTGTCCTCCAGCTCCCAGT